CGCGCGGATTCCCTGCAGGAACGCATGTCCGCGCATGTACAAGAGTGCGTATTTGTCAAAAATGACCGCGGGGACCGCCCTTTTTCGGCGACATATAGTCCTCTACCCTAAACTCAGTGAGGAATAGAGTTATTAGTTTGAATAACGCCATGTTTGATGCCGAGAAGTCGAAGGATTCGGAAACGTGAACCTGTCCTGAGATCGCCAAGAAGTTGGAACCGTAAGACTTTGCAGAGTTTTTGCATAGTGAATGTTCGCCTGCTGAACACTAACGTTTCACTTGGCCGCCATTAATGTGTAGAAATCAATCATCTTAAGAATCGTTTAGAAAATATTTCCATGATTTTTTTTTGCAAAACTTGGGCATCAACCCAACTCTTCATCTTTCTCTCGAAAAACTTTTGAAGCGATTATTGCTCTACCTAAGCACATCTTCTCAATATCATTTTTTCAAATTTCACCGTTTCTACCAAATTAACAACTTTACTTTGAGAAAAAACGCTTATCTGCATATGGTTTTGGCAAAAACAACGAAGCAGTCTTGAACTTGAGTGTGCATCAAAGACCTTATGGACTGCAGAAATATCAAATCCTGAATGGATACTAACAAGAAGAACACACTTTGATTTATGCTGGTACAGAATTTTCCCTGATTCTTGCGGTGACCGACAATGATATAAGCTACAAAAGCTGTTGTTCAGACCCATCCCCAACTTCGATGTAATGATAGGCAAATGCTCTAAACAGTGTTCATTGGAAAAAAAACCCTTTTACCTTTGGTAGTCAGTGCTCCGATATCTTTGATGGTCATAGTTAATATCAAGTTTTTATTTGCCCTAACTTTAGTTATTTCTTAGATTCCGAGAAGCCTTTATCGAGAGCTGAGTAGAGTGAACAAAGCAAAAAGTAACGAATTTGTTGGTAACTTTAGTTGACTTCTAAATAGTTTGTACTTCTAAGCATCAATGTCTAATTTGTAAAGTATTTATATGTACAAACTTTTAAACACTAACAAATGTTGAAAAGTCAATCTTCCACAAATCCATTTTGACCAAGCACTAATTTTGCAAGGCACACGAACTTTTACCGCTTCGAAATAATGATACCGAGATTTTCGAGTGCAGCTTGAGAAGTGTGAGAAACAAGAATCGTAATGATTTTGCTTCCGAAGCTTTGAAATTAAAAAAAAAAACTTCCATTGAAAGAGGAGAAAAAGCTCTATCGAATGACACCCTAATTGTTCTTCCCTGTTCAATGTTCCTTAAAGGCACCGTCCATCCAGATTCTTAACTTCCATGTTTTTGTCGTTCCGGGGCGTTCTCATGTCCTTGATTCCGAATATCAAGGTCAGGAATACGCACTCCGAACCCCGTTTTAGAGAACCCGCAGGGCGATTTGTGCGGAACGGTGATTGGTCAGATGCGCTCAAATGGGCGAAACGAACGTCGCGCCCACTTAAATGGGAGGAGTCAACGTGGCAAACCCGTCATCCAAAGCGATTTCTAAAGCAATTTTGTCGTTTCGGAAGCAACTTCTAGCAGCGCGAGTCGGGCAAATATACAGCTGGGGGCCAAACTACTGTTAGGCATCGAAATCCAATCGACCATATTCTGGGTGGACGGTGCCTTCAAGGTTTGGCGTGATGAGGTACGAAATTTGTTAACATTGAAGAAAGAATAACAAAATTGCTAGAAAGCCGGTTACAGATGCCAAAAAATCATTAAATACTTTGTTTTATTTTTTTAACTTTTAACAAAGCTCTGTCTAAGGGACTGGAAATTGTACTCAAGCTGTGTACGTAAAAACCATTGATTGGTTAACGATTATTCAAGCGACCATTGAAGATATCGTAATAGATTATGGCTGTTAGAAAGAAGAAGATTTTCCGCATCGAACGCTGTTTAAAGCAATCGCCTATCATCATTCTGGACGAATTGAGGAAGGATATATGAAGAGTGGCACGAATTGAGCACACCTAATATGAGACGAGCTCAGAACAACAAAAAATTTTATCTTTAAATCTACAAAAACCCTCGGAAATGTATTTTGAAAATCGTAAGAAATGATTCCAAAAAGGCTCAGTTGGACCAACGGTTCACAGAAAGCCACGACAAACTTTGGCGCTTTTCTATATGACATTGAGGATTATTTCAAAAATTTAGACGCATCTTTAAACGCTGATTTCAGATCGCCTTTCTCTTCTGTGGAACAACTCTCCCAAAGAAGTTATGAGTGTTTGAAAGTCCACATATTCAAGTTGTAAGTGGTTTAAATTTGTCTACAAGCTGTGCAAAAGAGCTGAAAATAGGTAGAGTTGTATCAAATACATAGACTACGAGGAGTACAAGAAGGTAACACAGCTTGTGGAAATCCTTGCAAGTGTTTTTGTACAGCATCCCACGCAGGACTTGACAGGCTTTAATTTCTAAACACTCAAAACTTCTTTCGGAATGTCGTTTCGCAGAAAGGGAGATTTGAAACCACCGTTCAACGCTCTAGAAAGCGATACAGATGTCATGTAGAAAGCTATTTCGACTAAAAAGCCCCTTGAAAGCACGGATCTCTTAAGGAAAGTTTTTGAAAATCCAAAAAACCAGTGATTTTCGAACCAAAAGATAATAAAAGCGAACGTGACACTTGGGAAAGAGAGTGACATTTATCGACACTTTTACTGACATTGATATCTTTGCTCGAAGTGCGTAGAGACTTCCCACTGCAATTCTGTGACGAAGCCGAATGTTTTGCTAGAAAAGAAAACATCAGCATTCCTCGGCAAACCATGTTTTTTTTGCATTAAATTGCTAGGGGATATGGAACGCAATGTTTGGCAGGCAAAAAATTGGTCTTGAAAACATACGATTTTTCAAGGAATACGATATGTTTGCTCATACTTTTCAATTCATTTATAGCTTTTCAGCACTCATAACTCCTTATGGATCAAATAACGTTCTTCACTTGGCATACAACTTTTACCAAAACTATCTAAATCGAGCAATTCTATTTCTCTCCTCCATAGTTTTATTCTTTCTTTGCCATTTGCTTTTGCTTGCAGAAAGGGAACTGAGCAATTTCGGAAGTGAATTTGCGAGCATCAATCACAGTTTGTTCTTAAAAATTGTTGAAATTAAAAATCCACAAACTCCTATCGACAAAATGTACAAAAAACTGGGTGAACAGCTGATAGCTTCACAAATGCGTCAAACATTTATTAGTTTGGTCCAAAATGTGCCGTTTTTCAGACCTGCGCAACCATTCAGAAAAGGTACATAAACGCTACAGACGGCATTCAAAGCAAAGTTTCTTCCTCTTTTTAGCAGAGATGTTTTTGATCCAAGCCCTTTGATGGGTGATCAGATAATCGTCGGAATCTTTAATCCACGATGCATACCTATCCTGATTTGAGCTACTTTTTATAATCTTCCTTTCAGACTTTCATAACACCTTTGATAATCGTTGGACAAATTAAAAGAAGAAATGGCAGCAAAATGCATTTTTTGGCTTCTGTAGCCACTTAATGGGCTCATGACACCTAGATGTAACCCGAAGCCCTGATGCTCGCTCAATACTAAACGACGTACCTATCCTACTGCGCACCTAACGCGCGAGCAAAGAAACATATGTTAGATTAAGTAATTTATCCACATGACAACACACTACAGTCGAAATAGACAGGACACAAAACTAAAGCAAACTACATATTACTACTACAAACACTAGGTAAACAAGTTACTACACTACTAAACGAAACACGGTACGAGGGCCCGTCCCATGCTACCGATGCGCGTCTGTGGAAGTACTCTTAAACGCATATGGCTCCCGAGGTTCCGTGCAACAAATTCACCGCGCAACGCCAAGGTTGTAGACGACGGTAGTCCCCTCCAGCTCCTGTAGATGAGTTCCAACTTAACCAATTCCGTTCAGCCTCACTAACGTGCTTCTATAACCGAACGGTAACCGATGCTCCCGGCCTCCTCTATAATGTTAAGTGCTAGTATCCAATCCCCAATCCAAAAGACTTCCGACTTAAAGGCAGTGGCTCGGCAAAATTCACAACTCAAAATTTTAATGCGGTAGACTCCTTATTGCCCAAGTATGAAAACAGTGCAATCCCGGTTGCACAATTGCTCTCAAACTTACACGCGCAGGCCATTCTTGCACGCATCTATACGAGTTGGCAATTTCCTTCTCACCATTAGAGGCTGCCCGCCGCAATGCTATAAGCATTGGGTCCTGCAACGATTCGGCGTCATTAGCCTTGCTGCACTCGTCCAATTCGAAAGGGAAGGGCATTAAAAGCGCTCGTTTTCGGCGTTTTCAAGCTCTCAAAAATGGAACTCCGGAATCAGCGCATTGAATAACCCCAGGTAAGCGAAAATTTGACTATGTTGAGATTTGCCGAGCCAGTGCCTTTAACTGCTCTCACTAAAAAAAGACAGGAGCATAACGGCTGAAATGATATTCGAACAAGAAATGAAGTCAATCGATAAAGAGCAAAATGAACAAGCACTGGACTGAGGCGCGACCGCCTTATATAGCCGCCGAGTGGCAACGAGCCAGCAAAGGAGAGGTCCGGAGGTGATTGCGACACACGCGTCACGGCTACCGTAGTCGTCGCCGGATAACGCGGCAACCGATGCTCCCGGCCTCCTGTTTCGAGCAACGCCTTTCGCGGAGACGCGACAGCATCTATAACTTGCTTTCAAAATTGAGATTATTTTTTTCGATGCCCAAACTAGGTTCTATAACATTTGGACATCACAGATGTTATAGAACAGTGGGCGGCGAGCTTCTGAAGTGTCATTAAACGCAGCTTTTTCTTCTCTTACTGTGAGTGTTTTCCCTTCAAGAATTGTGAAATCTGCGGAAAGAAAATTTTTTCAAGCAATGTTGTTTAAGCCAACAATCTAGAAAATGACTATATTACACAAATTGTTGACTCTTGTATTTGCAAAAAGTCAACATAAAGAAACAAGCGCTTCACTGAGCAAGCCTTCACCACTCTAGAAGTACAGAGCTTTTTTAGTGGAGATATTTGCAAAGTATTGTTGTTCCCCACAGCATTTACTGAGAACGTGCACCTAGAAAAGTAATCCAGGTTGCATGTAAAACTGGAAGAGCAAGTAAACTCAGAGGAAAAGTGTGTAACCTGGGCTTATGTGACATAAATGCACAATAAGTGAAAACGCTGACCTGCAGTGAGACTGATGCGCAGAAACTTGCGATTTTTGATGATAGATCTGTTTCTTCCATTCCAACTATATTGAAACTGTCTCCTAGTTCGAATGTCTCTTTCACCTTCGACGCATTGGCCGTTAGTGAGACAAGCATTACCCTTTGTTTGACCTTTGATAGTTCTTGCACAAACATCTTCCTGACTGGGTCGTCCCTACTGCAATTTGAAAGCTTAAAAGAAGGCGTTCTGTTGATTGTTCTATAAGGAACACAACTCATATTGATATTGACACGGCAAGTTGTAGATGAGACAATTTTGTGTCCCATTTCGTAACCTCTTGAACTCGGCAATCACCCTAAAGCTTATTGATAGTTGCCTTACTAAACGAATATAGTACTTGAAGCTAAAGTTTGGAAATTTTCATTTATTCAAATGTAGATACTTACACTTGACTATTAATCTTCAAAATGCCACTGTAAAATTACATTATTCGTTTCTGAAAAACTCTTATGATCGCCGGGAGAGCCCTGCGAATCATGGTCAAGCGGGCACCGGAAAAATAGTTCGCTGCGGTTCGCTCGCAGATAATCAAAAGAATGTTGGCCAGGTTTCAGAATACTCGGGAATGATTGCGGCTTTTTGGCCGCATTCTCGCGGACTTTCTGCGAGAAATGCAAAATTGGAGCCCGCAGGCCCAGGAGGACCCCACAACCCATAGTACCGCTGACAGGAATTACTCCAAACTCGGAAATTAAACCATCGATGATACCTTTGGCCGTAACTGCGTAACAAAAGTCAGAGCGCTCGCTTAAAACTAGGTCATCGCTCGTTGAAAGAAATTATTTGACGACCGCTTATAGAAAATTCTGTATTATTACCCGCTGGCAGAACATGCGACAGCAAAGGAAGTACCGCTCGCTAAAGGTTTGGCGCCCTGCGCCTCAAAACTCTGCTGGCCGCCTGCAAAAAAGCTCGAGTTTGCGGTCCAGCTGCCCCCCGGCGATGGTCTGAAAGAGCACCTTGCTCTGTCTGACACTCTATTCTCAATCCTACAAGCTGTCGAATTTTCGTGAAAGTGATACTGTACATATGTAACCCCATAACACCCTTATTTTGTAACCCATAAAAAGGCTTAACTCGATGGCGTGTGGAGATTTTTGTACAAGAACATACTTCTGAGGCGAATATTTCTGCCAGCTGAGATCTTAGGCATGCAATCTCGCTTGATTGAGAATTTCAATGAAGTTTAGTATGCATCAGAAAAATCCAGAAGAATCTTCCAGATGATAAATACGCAGAAAGGCAGAATCTCACGGTTGATTTGTACACAACGGACAGAACTTTTGCAGCAAACTTTACGATGAGCATCTCATTTCTAACGTTCTATCTTTTTGGCACATGCTCAAATCGTGCAGCAAGATGTACCCAATTATACTTACTTAGCGAATGTTCGGAAGGAGAGTGCCTATCTAACAAAATGAATGGCCATGCATAGCTGCACGCGCAGATGTAAGAGCTCTTACATATTGTCAGATGTTTTCCGCTATGCGCATTCTTCAGTAAAGCATTTTCAATAGTTATCAGTGGACAGCAACTCAGTTCCATCCTTAGCACTCGAATCAGTTCTAGGAAGACTGTATGTCTAGCAATACTAGCATCTCAAATTGCAACCGAGTTTTTCGTGCTTGTTACCAGCTACGAAATATATCTTGGCCTTTCGTACTGGCTTAAAGTTAACTTAATAGGCTGTCCGGAAATTGGTGACCGTTTCTTACGCGAACGCGGCATATGGATATGAAGATCTAGGAAATCTTTAGATATATGAAAATAAGCACTATTGGCATTCGAACAAACACAGGAATTTTTATCCATGTAAAGTCTGAAAGCAAAAGTAAAAAAAATACATAAAAATCAAATTCGTGTAAAACGCATCTGCAAACCTTTAACTCGGCCATGCAAATATTGTGCACATCGGACATTGCTTTTTTCTAAGGTCAGAAGTTGAAAAAATAAAAAGTGGAATGTTCCAGCACATGCAATGCTGTGGTACTCTCACATATATAATTGTACTGTAAGCTTTTGAAAGTACAAACATAGATTTTTGTCTCTCCCAAGCGCTTGTCTCCGAGAATCAAATTTAGCACAAAGACCTTGAAAGCCAATATTTTCGCACTTTACTTCTAAACATTACTAGATCGATATTTTTGCAAGTATTCGGATGGAAAAGCTTGCTTTCCTTTATCGAACGATATGTTTTCTGCTGCGATCGCGCAAGGAACGGTCCATTGATTTGACAACCTTATAACCTTATATTTCAAAGCTGCCAAAAAATTGTTGAGAAACAAACTGTATTGCTATACGCACGCAACTTGTAAGTAATTGTCACACTGAAACAAAGGCTTCGCGAAGTGTAGAACATACGGAATCCAGAATTCAAATTCGCTATCGATTCTGAGACTTGCACAAAAAGATTGAAGTTTGACACTTACGAAGTGAGGTTGCATTGCTTCTCAGAGTTAGGCTTTATAGATTCCAATTGTTTGAGAGCAGCGTTCGCTGATTCTGGAGACGATGTGTTTGCTGCTGTACCATATAGGATAAAGTTATATCGATAATTCATTTCCTCCATAGCTTTTATTGCTTTGCGTGAGTTGTTTTTATTCTGAAAGCAATTGAACGCCTTTGAGTGAACGTTCTTACTTTAAGCGAAGTATGAAAATTTTGCTTTGCACTACTATGAAAGCAGCTACTAGCGGAACAATCGTAACTATTGCAAATGCAAGGAAATGAACGCTCAGCTTGATGCAGGACACGTCGTACCCTAATTTCAAGTGTATACAGTCTTCCTCAATCGGGATCAGGCCAAAGTCGGCTGAATTTGCGCGCTCGCAGCGCTGGGGTTTGCGCTGCATAAGCGCGCTGTCGCAGAGAGCGAAGCGATTGAGAAGAGAGCATGTTAGCTAGCTGTAGACCCGACGCGATACCCACGCGACACGGATTCCCGCCATGCCAATTTTGGCCTGGTTGGGATTGTGGCAGACTGTACCTTCTGTCTCAATCCCTGTGTCACCTTTGCAAACCGGCGTGAATTCACATGGCGGCCTCACTAAGCGTGACGATTGCGAGCCTCTCTGTTTGGCTGTTTCGTCTAGAAAGAGCTAGAGACGCCTAACCTGGCATTAACACTAAGCGAAACCGCATCGTGAATCCATGCTGATGCTTCGAGAATTGGCACATCAAAAGTCCTGAGAGGGATCGTTCACTGTAAGGACTTTAGCTAAAAAACAGTGCAGGTAACCACTGTTCGGGATGCATATGCTCAGCAAAGGCTTGCTCGCAGACAAGTCCAAGTAGGGTGTGACCTGCGCACATGAAGAGAAGATACATCAAGATGTGCCAAAAGCTTCAAACGAAGACCTGCCATTTCGAGACTGCAGTCTGGACCATTGTTGATTACTTCTGGGAAGGTAAGCGTTTTCGTTTTTTTGTCTCCAGAAAACATCGCAAATGTGATGACTGTCCCATTGAACGTCTCTAAATACATCTCATCACGCAATAGAAAATTGAAGACGAAGATCTGCAAATCATATCACGTTGGACTGATACAGGGTTGTAGTTAATTACCCGATTATGGTTTTGGTGCATGTGATTACCATTACAATGACCATTATTAGCTTACGACACTGACGTTAAACTCTATCAGCAAGATTTCTCAGCTGTGACCAAGATTATATACTCATTAGGCCGACACTTCGCCGAAACTTCTGCTCAAAAGATGAAGAGTATCATCTTATTATCACACAATAATATATTCCCGCCAAACATTTGCAATATGGCTCGACGGTGAAAGAGCTGTTAGATGTAGTCTTCCCCCGAATTACCAATACTAGCATTGATGCTAAGACCATACAGACTACCTGGATCGGATCAATACACAAATCAGTTTATAAGATGGTTCAGTGTAAAGTCACTTACATTCCGATTGCGTTCTTGAATTCAGCAGAGCTCAAATACTACTTTACAGACTTGATTCAAAGTTGATTTTTCGACCACCTTTCTTCGCAACATTGAATCCGAAGTTGTGCTAAGGCTTTGCCTCAGGAAGCTTATAGCAAACGCTGTAGGGGCGAGCGGATCGGTAGGGTAGCTGACGTCATTTTTATTTCACGAATCTCTTTACCGATAATGCCCTCCGAGTACACAAAGCGCAAGGGAAGTTTTGAATAATAGTAAGAGCATACTTAAGGTTCCGTCTCGGGTACGATCACTTGCGCGTGGCATATTTAGGTGCCGGTTAGTTCGTAGAAGTTCAACATTTATGCGCCCGGAGGTAGCACAGTCAATAAAGTATATCCCAAAACGCTAACAAACATGCAAGAGTATAGAGCTGTATCTGTCTTTTGCATGCCTAATGAAGAACATCCACATCTGACATCTGTATATAAAGTTGCTGTGTCTTTTTCTCCGTATGAAACCAAAAAACGAAAATCTTCATGCTTTTACCAAAGTGATGCTACGCTGTAACCACATAAGTGATTGTATGATACGACTCCGTGGAAGTACAAATTCAAATTTTCAGCACTTTACAATCTCTTGTCCTCGAGAATTATAAAATACTAGCTGGCTTACCCGGCTCCGCCGTACGTTCCGAATAGAAAATTCCATTTCTTAACCGATCCGGACCAAACTTGGCACACATACATTTCGGGCCCCGGCGGGTGCCACATCCACTTTTCGTTATCGATCGATGTCGATTTTATCGATTTTTTGCAAAATTTGAGCTACAGGGCTGGAATTTGGCACAGGGGGGTAATCGAGCATGCTGATCACCCCCGTGGGGGTGATCAGCATGCTCGATTACACCCCTCTGCCAAATTCCAGCCCCCTAGCTCAAATTTTGCAAATAATCGATAAAATCAATATCGATCGATGACGAAAAGTAGCCTATGAGCCTATGCCTAGCATAACTTTAGCAAAAACAAGAAAATTTTCGTTTTCTTGGTTTCCCGAAAAAAAAAATACGGCAATGGCATATCTGAATGTCTGATGTGGAAAGCGTATATGTGAACAAGATAGGGCTGTAGAGCATTTTTGGGCGGAGTTACGATTTTTCGCTAAATGTTTTTAGTTTTTGGCTTCGGTCTCGAGGTGAATCAAAGCTGGTGTAAAAGCAAAAACGTCTTCTGAGCTTGTTTTGCTTTGTCCAATGATACTCTGACATCCATTTAGATTTGAGAAACGTATGACTTATTGCGATTGAAACTTAAAACGGACAATTTCTAGCTCAAAAGAGTTGTGTGGGGGAGCGACTGTTTCGGGAGGTACAGTGGTACAGCCAAACTATTCTCTCGAAGAATGAAATGCTGCTTTTTGTACTCGCGACAGGGTGGGCAAACGAGCATTATTGCGAGTCCGTTATTGAATGGCAGATATAGGCTACTGCATCACGAAGGCGCAATATCTTCAAGCGCGGATTCGGCTTTATTAGCCACAGAGCGGATGAGGCGCAAGATTTACAACGGTGAGAATACGCACGCGTCGCGTTTGCGACCGCTCAACTAATGCCGCTTCTACGCCTTCGTCATGCAGTAGCCTTTAGCTTCGACATCGGGCGACAAATTTAACAAATATTAAAGAATCTTTATGGAAGTCTTCTATTTTCAGCACGTGCGAGCGCAATCACCATTTTCTCTCCCGTTTGAAGAAGAAATGGTTTTGCTGCGTAGATATACTAGATCGACATAATGCTGCCGCAACCACCCTTAAATATTCATAACTTTCTTAATTTTCAATTGATTTGCTTGCATTTAGTTTGGAAAGAGAAGATTATGAATTTGATAATGGTTTCTACTATACTTGGGTAATTCGAGAATTTTTCATTGAATGAATGAATATCGAATAAATTCGAAAAGGAAAAATTTCGAATAAACGAAGATCGAAAATTCGGAAAATCAAAAATATCGAATGAATGAATTTCGAATTAATTCGGAAAATCAAAAATATCGAATGAATGAATTTCGAATAAATTCGGAAAATCAAAAATATTGAATGAATGAATTTCGAATAAATTCGGAAAATCAAAAATATCGAACGAATGAATTTCGAATAAATTCGGAAAATCAAAAATGTCGATTGAATGAATTTCGAATATATTCGAACATTGAAAGTCGAATTTCGAATAAATCTTCGAATCATTTATCGAATAACTAAAGCAATCACATCTCAAACTTGCCGACGTATCTGGCTAAAGCCGATCCAATCATAATCAGCCCCCTAGTATCCTCTATACCAACTCCTAGCTCAGAATTTTCCAAAAATTGCTGAAAATAGATTTTGGTAATCAGCATCCCCATTTACCCCTGTACCAACTCCCACCCTTGTAGCTCAAGATTTTCCAAAATTCGATAAAATCGATAAAGGAAATTTTTATCCATATTTTTTATCTTCCACTAGATTTCAAAGACGTTTAGCAGAGTAAAGATAGTGGAGTAATGTAAGTAAGTAATGGCTGGAGCTAAAATCTAATAATGAGAAACATTGCAACTTGGTGTAAGCATCTAACGAGCTGTTCGGATTCATAGCGCTATGTGTGCGACCTTTGAAGCAATAAGGTGCCAAATATGTACTTAAATTCCACAAATGCTACGATACATCGCCTGTTCATCGCAGACTTTCGTCTTGTGTGGTATAAGCTAGTCGTGGACGGAGGCATGTGGTTTCTTCCGCGAAGCGAGCACGAATGCCCCTATAACCCCGGGCATACTGCAGGCATTTCAGTGGCGACGTGGTATGGCAATACTCAAATTGTCCAAAACCTATTCTAAAAGTACAGAATGCATTGCATTTATCTTTTTAGTAAGTTGTACACGCTAAACATTTGAAGTAAGCTGGCGTTACATTTGAAGACACTCTCGTAACTGGCAAATCACGCACGGCGATCTAAACCGTTTAGTCCTCCACTTTAACTGCGATGTCCTTAACTCAATTCACACCAATTTGCGAAAAACTCCAAGGTAACGAATGGGCAGTTGTGCAATAATTTATGCGAGCAGAATGCTCACTAGTGTGGGCTTTGCGTACCGCAAGCATGAGCAATGCAAAGAAAGAAGAACAGCCATTTCAATTCAGTATATGAACTCGGAACCTGAGCTTGAATTTAATATCTTCTTTGCTGATTTGGTGCCAATAGCGGTGCGAACAATCTCGTTGATCGAAAAAGCATCAATCAAAATCCACATATGATTTTTTTACTGTCGCAAGCAGTCGGAAGAATGCGACTCTCCATACAGTTAAAAGGTATAACGGTTGCAAAAAATGCATTACCGAGTTTTGCGAAAAAAAAACGCGGACGAAGTGAGCTTGATACTCAGCAGTTGGCTCTGCAACAAAGTCGAATAATCTGAATACGGAGTACATTCGAATACGAATTCGAATAAACATTCGAATAAAACATTCGAATAAAATCTATTCGAAACCCCGTTTTTTGACTATACGAGTTTTCGAATAATATTCGAAACCTCGTTTTTTGATTATTCGAGTTTTCGAATTTTATTCGAAACCCTCTTTTTTGATTATTCGAGTTTCGAATTTTATTCGAAACCCTCTTTTTTGATTATTCGAGTTTCGAATTTTATTCGAAACCCCGTTTTCTCAATTATTCGAGTTTCGAATATCATTCGAAAATGGAAGAACTCCGAATATCGAACGAATACGAATATATTCGACTGTTTTATTCGAATGATCGAATTTCTATTCGATTCGGACCCAAGTATAGTTTCTACTACCCAAAGTATGATGGTTTGTACTACTCGAAATTCGCCGAGTATAATTTCAAAAAATCTGAAACATGCGATAGAGCAATCGGTTTGTAAGTTTCATTGCTTGCCTCTTCTCATTGGCAAAGTTTGCGCTAATTACGCGTCCCCGCAGAAGGTTACGTCTTTTGGGCAAGCAGTTCAAAACAGATTGTAGTCTTTCAAGATTTGTAGTATTTATGGAGACATGTAATCAAAGCAGCCTTTGTCGTTTCAACTGCAACGATTTTTCAGTTTCGGAAGTTTCAGATTTCTACCGTCAAACTCAGAAGAATAGAATGAGTAATTTCTTTCTAAATTTATTTTATTGACAAAAGTTTTTATTCCCTCACTGGATTCTGGCGTCTTGAGTAGTGTTATGACTGTTGTTATTGCTGACCCACAGATAAGTAGCAAGAAAAATAAGACACCCATCCATTTCATCATTGTCCCTGGAAAAAAACCTTATTGAAAGATTTGAGATACTTAAAATGCTTACCTATCCTATTTGTTTTGGGTTGCAAACCTAAAGTGCTTTGTTGTGTGCCTAAGCTGAATTCTGGTGAACATGAGTTGACACTGGTTGCTGATTTCCCGTACTTCTTGAAACGTGAGGCACTATTGTTATGGTTCTGTGGAACCGGATACTTCTGATACATAGTGGACTGGTAACAATCAGGCTGAAATCTGGTATGACGATATTTCGGTACTCCTAGAGAATCAAGATGCTCAAAAAGAAAACTTGTACAATTCCGGCGAAATGTTAAGCATTGTAAAACGGTGTTCATGAAACATCAAACATTATTGCGCACAGATTTTTGCAAATTTACACTTATTCTTTAGTTTTGAAATTTGAAAAGGAAAGCAAGATTTGAATGCATGAGCATACCAACAAGATGATTGTCTGATACATAAGCTGCTCTCAAATGAAGAAATATACCGAAAATATATAGGTTCAGTAAGCGTCGCTGATGAAAACCATTCTGATTTGTTCAACCTTATACTTCAGAGTAATATGGCTATGTCAACTAAAATTGTACTCTACTTCTAGCGTACAACATTTATGAACTTTCTAAAATAGAATACGCAGTAGTAAGGTGCATTACTGCTATAGTCGGCCTGCACGTCAGGAGGTACGCCGCGCACGGCGAACGCTTTGCCACGCGCACCGCGCGCGATTCTGATGGCGCGGTGGACGAGAACGCTGCAAAGACGATTTGGAATGCGCATTTCCGCCCCATGACAGTTAGCGCTACAGAGCAAGGTTTTTCTAGTAAAATGTTCGCATCTCAATGCAGTGAATGTATTTGAAGTATAATTGACTCCAAAACATCAATTTGCTGGTGAAGCATTGTGCAGTGTCCCTTCGTTTTTCTCTTACTCTCTGCTATTAAACTTACTCTGGTCATTTGAATGTGTCGCATAATAGTCCCGTCGCTTCTCTCTTCGAAAGCTTTTGATATGATTGTATCCATGACTCATATGTGAGGGGAATTTGACGTGATTTTGTGCAGTGCAGCTTTATATTGCATGGAAATTGTCTGCCAAAAGACTGAACTTATTGTTTTCGTCAGTATTTTCACTTGATGGGCATAAAAACGCCGATGTCAAGTATTGTTGTTCGATCATTTTGAGTTGTTTGATCATCGTTCCCTCATGTTTTCTCATGCTCCTCGCTGTGTTCGTTTTGCATCCTTGGTTAGTTTTTTGTGCTGCTCGCTCGCCTTTTACCAAAGTTGGTCATGTTTGGATTTTGCACTGGCAATAGGTGATTTAGAAGTGATGGCTACATGATGAAATGCTGATGCAGCTGATCATCAAATTGTCGACGTTTCTTTTTCTTGCAGGTCAGAGTGTTGATCAGTGTTTGCTTTTTACTTCGCTTGTCAATCAGAGATTTTAGATTTAGAGTTCAAAAGCAACCGCTACACAGCTTTGAAGCACAAGTTGCTCGCGCTTTATCAGTCTCGAAGACGAAGTCGATGTGACTAGAAGTACAGTACAAGTTTGCTACAAACTTGTAAAGTTTACAGATCTCCAGTTGTTACATTCTCGTCGTTGCTATTTCCCGGCGAAGGCTTCAAACACTTCTACTTTTCGCCACTGAAGAAGGCTATAATCTTATTAGTTTACTTAGTCCAGTCTTATTGGTGCTGCATGCCAGTACTGAAGCTATCCAACTCGCCATGGCCCTCGCTTGAAGGTCGTTGCGAGCTGGATAGCAAAACGATCCTTGTTGAAAAACTTGGCGTGATTCCAAAATTTGAAAGGCGTTGATCAAATCATTGTATTGCGAAATATCTTGCATTTTGCGCGCTTTTTTAGCATTTATCATTCATTTAGGGACATTTGCAAATGTCGTCGTTTAGCTCCTCCGATCCCCCTCGAGAAGCAAGATATTCTGGGGTGCGGCAGCCCAGTCAGAAATTGAGACGCGAAATCATACGTTTTGACATACCCGGAACACGGATAGATTACATATTCTCGCACCAAAGAAGCAACGCAAACTACTCTGTATTTCGAAGCAAAGAGTGCAAAAAGCATGAACACTTCTTGGCCATAAGGGTGAGTTAATATTTACGTAATTCCATATGGTGATCCTAAAAACTGCATAACTCATCGCTTGCTGAAACTTCATGAAAGTTATCTGACATGTTGATTACTTATACCCACTTTTTTTCGAACTAAGTTCTTGTGTTGATAAGATGATTTTAGAACCACGAATTTGGGTACTTAGTTAGGACTCATGTGGCACGGTAGCGCCATTTCAACATGATACATAGGTTCTCTTCCTGAAAGTCATGTTTTAGGTGATTGGAGATGAGATAATAGATGACCCATGTGAAAATCATGTTTGTATCGCAGTCAATTCATCAAAAGACCGAGCCAATAGAATCATGTACGAAGTAAGTGAACAATGCTCGTGGATAATTGGGCTGATTTTCTTTTTTGAATTTTAGGTTTGTCAAAATGTCCGTTCTGATTCCCAGCTTGCACGTGCTACTCTTTCCGAAATATGGGAGAAAACATTACATAGAGTATTGACGAGCATGGATCCTCCTTCTCTTTAAACGAAGTCGTTGTGCATTTCTTGCAATATGGGCTAGAATCAAGAAAGAGCATCGAAAGGTACGAGCGTTAATCTCTGCATTTACCGATGGATTTTTCTAAAGCAAAGGCAGTCCACGGAAGCCAAGAAGTATCATGGGACAGCATACCCACGATATACGCTTTTCTTGATGATGGCACGCCATTTCTTTAAGATAATAATGACGTTTACCAGCTCTACTACTTCCCAAGCACAATCAGGATGAGCCCCGTTTTTCACATCAATGGTTTCTGTTTCTTCTTCTCTTCCCTTCTCGCAAATGCGCGTTGCTTGTAAGGCGTCTGACGAAGGCGCATGGTTCCACCTAAGGCGCATAATGCGCTTTCCCTAGGGGCCTTCGAAGAAGAGGTCTTCCTTTCTGACAATTTGGTCTTCAAGCATAGGCTTCAACGCTCGTGTAGGGTTGAAAGTTTGCGCTAACCTGCACACTTGCCTTAGCCCAGCACAGAAACTAGCTGACAGGGCACATGTTTTGTAGTCAGCTTCGGAAGCACTTTATGCTTGAGCTTGTTCCAACTTGGAGTTAGCTTGACAGAGTTTTGATATTTGTGAAGACCGGCCATACATTGTCATTACATTGTCATCGTTACCAGGGTTGCTGGCCTTCCTTCTTGTAGCACCTTAGTATCACTTTGTGTTTTATGCACTCTAAGCGGCAACGCCGGAATCCTGGCAACAACTGCCAGATCGATCCTAAACTCTTACAGATGGCCTGCAATAAGGTTCTCACTGCTTTGGTTATGGACGGAATGCACATTGCTACCCATATGGGAGATGTGAGACTGGAGTGAGACTTTATACACTTTGCATGGCGTGATAGCATCAGGGCCCGGCACGAGGTGGGCAAACGGGGTTTTCCAAAACGAATTCCCCTTTGATCCCGATAAATTTTACGAATACCCCCTTGAGCCCAAAAATGACGTTTTGTGCTTGTGCACGAGATTACCGGCCACACTTCGCCTAAAAGCGCTCAAAAGCGCCCAAATTGCTCAAATTCCTCAAATTACTCCTCAGCTGTATCGAGATAGAAAACAGGAAGAAAAATAAGCAAGAAAAATGATTAAGGAATGAGAAAATATCAAAGAAACGCAGTCATAGGAATGAGAGACGCCGTTCCCGCGCGTATCGATTGACTGGGGCGCGCTTTCTATCTTAGAAAGCTAGGCTGCTGATGCGATTTTGGGCTCTAACAAGGACAAGAGGAGGAGTTTCGGAACCAAAATTTCAACATGTAGTAAACTTTAGGTGTACAACAGATTTATGTAAAAATTTTGAAAAAATTATGTGAATTGAGAGTTTTGCCGACCTCAGGACCTCAGGTCGGAATTAGGTCGGCAAATGCCGACCTAATTTGGAAATTAGTTAAACACGCTCTTCATTCACTTATGTTTTTCATAAGATTTCATCCCTTATTACTTAGTCCTATTGCGCATATACACACCGAAACCCGCGCGATTTCGTTACATCTGCGTTGCAAACGAGCCATTTTTCCATTTCTTTGGTAGCGCAAAATTTTCAGAAAAAAAGTTTGCCACAACCTTCAGTCACATAATTTTTCGATGAAACTCCTCAGTTAAGCCCTGCAAGTCCGTGTGCATGTACTACTTACCAAGTTTTATACCATATCGTTCATCTGCGCGTTCCAAACGAGCAGTTTGAATTCACATCTTCATTTACCAGTTTTGCGAAATTCTCGGAAAAAAATGCTAATTGCTCGTTCCGTTCACATAAGTTTTTCATAATTCTTCATAATATGTTTCCACTAGCCTCTCTCCGTTCGCATACAAAATTTGGTGCCATATCGTTACACATACATTGAGAACTAGTCATGTATGCAGTTACAAATAGCATCGCTTGGGCGACGTCGCGCGTGCGGCAATTAGCGACGGCGCGGTTTGACGCCCGCGAACTCCAGTGTTCGCCTGTTGAGGCACATAACATGTCAAGATAAGTAGCGAGCATAAACTACCAATTTTTTTCCGGGGCTCCGCCCCGGACCCCGCAAAAACGATTTCCCCTTTGCTTTTTGGCCCCAAAACGATTTCCAGCTTGTCATTTGCCGACCTCGTGCCGGGCCCTGGATAGCATCAGCCACGAAGTCGAGTTTGTAGCCACAGGGTTCGTTAGCAATTGCAATTGTTTCAGTTTCCTCTCTCTTACGCTTTGATGAAAAACAAATGCCAACGGACCTACGAGAGAATATTTTCTAAAGTTGAGCAGGAGCTGCGTTTAAATATGGCGAGCATAAGTTTGAGGATCGTTTTGGACTTTGAACTGACGGCCATACGGGCGGCTGAACGTTGTTTTCCGTCTTTCTCGGTGGAAGGCTGTTTGTTTCACATGAGTCAAGCCTGGAATCGGAAACGGAATTCACTCGGGATCACGAAATACAGGGGCCCGTAGTAATCCCCCGTCATGAGGGTCGCGACGTTCGAAACATCGCACGTACCCAGCACGTGTCGTTTCGGCCGCGTTTCGTCGCGCGCCTATCTCTTATCACAGCCGCGCGGCGAAATCGCACGACGTCATGACTGCAGGACGTGCTCGTCCTTGCGCGCAGAGGACGAGCACGTCGT